ATAATGTCAGGTACTTGCTGATGACAATCAGAATTGATAAGTGTATCTTCACAGAGCTTCATGTTTTTCACTGACAGACAGTCACATTCTAGGAGCTATTTTCATGTGAGTGCATGCCAAGCACTCACTTCTTCTATGGTTTTGGGGATTTTAATTTGTTTGCTGGTTTGCTATTTCTTACTGTGTTTTGTTTTTTTCAATTCCCCCTAAATCTTTTATCACATACATGTTTATTTTCCTCCTGATATAATCTAAAGCAACCCAGCTGGCTACTTAGCAGAGTGACATCTTCTAAGTAGCTGACAGTTACCAGCTCATGCAGATGTTTTAGCACACCAGCAAAGCAGAGTTTACTTACCATCTGTACACAGCCTGCAATCATTTGGCTTGGAAGACTGTGTATTAACTTAAATTTCTTTATCATTCTAATTGACATTTAAGTTTCATTTTGCACTGCAGAGTCTTAATCTGAAATTGAGTATGACCGAACTGAGAATACATTTCAGGAAAGGTGTTAGCACAGCAGTGCAGGAAGGAAATCTTATCAGCTTTGTTGAGCTTGGTTGGTTAGTTTTAGAGAGATTCATTTGTCAGCAGAACTGGAGGCAGCACAGCTGCGAGGACTAGCTAGGAAAATGTGGTCTGGTCCAAAGCATACTGGAATCCACACAAAACCATGTTTAATTACTTGATCCTTTCCTCTCTAATTTCTGTTACATCAGTGAGATGTTCAACGGGAGGATAAATACATCTATGCCTTTTATATTCTTTCATATGCATTTCTCAGAGTAGTGATTTCTGTGAAACACAGCAGAATCAAAACTGCATTTGAGCCCAGAAACTCAAATGTCAGAAATGAAAATATAAAATATCTGCAGACTAAAGCCCTTAGAGTACAGATGATTTGGCATTAATAAAATCAAATAAATAAAATTAAATTAAATAAATATCATATTTCTGAGGGAAAGTATCCAAATATACCCCTTCCCTTTGGATGACTAAATATTTTAAAAGGACAGGAAAAGGAAAAAAATGCAACTGTTTATATGATGGCTGCTCTGAAAGTGATGCCTCCTTTTATTACATTAGCCCACAGCGTCAAAGGCAGATGTTGGTGGCACAGCAGTGGAGGTGAACCCCCTCACCAGCACTCCATTACGTGTTGGTGCTGTGGCAGATGGCAGCAGAAGGACACTCTCACAAAATGGTGTCTGACTGGAAGTGCAGATGAAGGAAAAGTGTGGGGCTCTATGATAACTCTATTCCTTATGAAAATCAGAGCTATCTTAGAGAGCGCTAGGCTCATTCTTCTGCTTTCAGATAAAAAACTTCTAGATTCATGAGCTGAAGATTTTGAAGAGGCTTGTGCTGGCTAGTTGCAGACAGATTGCAGTTACCAAAGTGTCTAAGAATCAGTTAATTCAGAATTATATGGGAAGCAAGAGGTTATTCTGTGCTCAGATTTTGTATGATTAATAATTCTGCGTCAGTAAAATCCATTCTAGCTTCAGGGAGATTTAATCAGCAAAGAGATGTTATTCAAAAAGTGAAATTTCCTAGATTTGTATCTGTAAAGTGTATCAGACAAACTTTGTTTCCTTTCTATGAAAATATCAGAGAAAACATTCACGTATGGAAACAAAAACAAACCCAACCAACCTAACAAACACAACACCAAGGATGGTGTTGGAGGATAAAAGACTCATCTCTCATCTTCCCTAGTTCATGAACTTGCTGTTGACTGTGGGAAGCAAGCTAGAAAATTAGTTAGGTGTGTTCTATTGGTACTTCTCTCTGTTGTGCTTTTGTTTCTGGATTTGTTGGGGTGTTGTTGTTGTTTTTAATTAAGTAGCAAGGATCCTGTGGAACAGTTTAAATATTCACTGCTTACCAATGAACAGTTTGTAAACTCTGCCTCAATAGACAAGTATTAATCTGCGAATGTGTTTAGAAACTTGAGCAGAGATGCTGCTTATAAGGTGTCTCACACTGGAGTCATTTCATTAAGGGCATTATCTGACACATTCAGGCTCGGGTAGGAAGGGCTATTTCCTGCACATGTGGTAAGAAAATCCAGCTATTCCACGCTCCTGGAAAATCATGCTCCCACATAAAGAAATTAGTTTCCTTTCCTTAGATCTGCTTCCCATCATCTGTAAAGCAAAATTCCTTTAAGAGAACCACTCTAATGGCTTCATGTGTTCATTTAAAAACAAAAACAAAACTCCACAGTATTACTGAAAGAGAAGACATGAAAATTTGTATGTAACTACTGATTCTCACCAGAGATGAATATGATGACAAACTTCAAACTATGAGCAGGAAACCATTTACACTACCAATAGTGCCCTATTATGGGATGTAATAAAGTGTCAAGGTTTTTACCTTCATACAAGCATTTCACCCTCATGAGCCTTCATGAAGTAGTCTTATTACCTTACCCTATAGACCACAAACCAATATACTCAATGTACATGCTGGACTTGCTCAAAGGCATAAAGGGGGTGAGTGGTGGGGAAATGAATTCAGCACAGTCTCCCGAGACATGGGCTGCGACACTAACAACCAGAGCATCTCTTTTGTTTAAAAAAGTAAGAGTTAACTTTGAAGAAATCCATAATTAATTAGAAAAGATCAGACAGAACATTTAAATACCACAAGAAGGACTTTTATTTTGTTGGATATGTAGATAGTATTATATTTACAAGAATTTGAATAGATAGGCTTGCACATGTCAGGAAGGAGAGTGCTTTATATTACAAGCCACAGTGAGGGGATGAGCATCCCACAGCAGTTAGCAGGCATAGCTTTATGAGTTGATAAGGCTGGATTGTTTTTCATAAGAACTATTCTTACTCCTATCCTTTAAAAGGGGGTGAACAGCCAAGTGTGAACAAAAAAAAAATGTACAAAGCAGCTGTGCTGTTAAAAATACTGGGTTTGGAACTTGGTTTTGCTGGAAGCGGAGGCCCTGGAGCACCTAGGGAAGGAAACCCTTAATGGTTGTATGTCCTGCACTTCATCTAAGTGAGGTTGGACTACAGTAGTCAACAGAACCACATGTAATGGCAGATTTGTAGCTCTTGATTAGTATTTACTAAACTAAGCTTTAGTCAGTGAGATTAGACTGTATCTAAGCTATGTTTTCCTTTGGAAAGAGGTGGGTGAGACTGTGAATAAAAAATTTCTTAAGTCCAATTAAGTAATATCTCATGAAACATAACTTAAAAAGATGTTTATGATTTGAATTAAAATTAGTAAGCATGAAGCATACGTTCATCTTCTGGCCATTTTCAAAGGCCAAGTATTTAAACAGCAGACACGCAGAGCGTGGTCATTAGAATAGCAAGTCCCTGGTGCATGCAGCCCCCTACATGCCTCCATTCTTCAGGGTGTGCTGACACATCCTGGAGGCATTTGGCAGGAGACGGTTACTTTATGCTTAGAATCTTCTGACGTGAGTGGAGGAAAGAGGAGACCTGTTAAAGGTGAAGAGATACACAGGAGGTCAGTGCTGTAAGCATCCTTCCTAAAGAAGGAAGTTGTAGAATATTTTCCAGGAGGGGTTAAATTAAGCTTGACTTTGTATTTTCCGGGTTCTCTGTAGAGGAAACTTTCTTCCACGTGGCTCTCAATGCTGGACTGAAGCTAGGAATGCTTTCAGTCAGGCTGATACCATTTCTTTACTACACACCCACTCTCTGCTAACTACAGATTACCTTTTCTGAAAGTTTGCCAAGAGAGTTTTCTCACTGTTTGTTCTTGTTTTCCTCAAGGCTGCTGAAGATCTGCACTCTTTCTGATAACGGGATGATGAGATGTACCTTCTCTTTTGTTGTTGTTGCTTTACTTTTATCACTTTAAGGAAAAAGTACACATACTCTCCCAAAGTTAAATAAGCCAGATAAACATACTGCAACTGTTGCATTGCCTCGCAGTTGCTGACAACATCCAACTCAAAAGTTAATGACCGAATAAAAGCTAAGTTCAGCCAAGCAAGACTCACGAAGCTAGAAGTCAAATTTCAACCCAAATGAGAGAAGTTTTGTTGTGCAAAGTACCCTGATGCTGACAAATGATTTCACAGGGTTGGCTAAATGCGCAGCTCCTTACAGACTGCACGTCGCCAGGCCGTGTGTGGATGAGCAGGGCCACTGCTCCTCATACTGTTTTCTCCCCATGTTCTCCCAGGCTCAGGGCAAGCAAACGTGAAATAGGTCAGGCAGCTCCTACCGTGAGAGCCAAGTGTCCTGCTCCTGCAGGCACCTCCCAAGTCGCTCAGGGTAGGTGGCTGTGAGGAACACGTCAAAGCATTTATGGGTGCTGTCAGTTACCTACAAGGAACTGTATGGTCCGCTGAGGTTTTTTAATCAAACGTTCAGATACGTGCTTTGCCTGCAGAGCATTTCCCCTTCTTGCTGCAGCACGTGAAGTGACTCCTACTTGTTTCTGGATTCTTTCTTTTTTGTGAAACCTCACTTCCACATTAGCAAGATGATTGTGTTGATCAAAGTCAAGCAAGTGTAGCACAAGTAGCATTAGCTCTATTCTGACCTTTGTTTCTAGTAGTTTTCCATGTACTCGTAGGTTAAATCTTTCTGATATATGACAAGCCTTCAGCTTCCTCAAATACCGCATCTAAACAAAGGAAAGTCATTTCTGAGTTCCCCATTTCACGCTCCACCGGACGCAGCGACGGCCTCCCACTTCCCCAGTTCACAGGTGCCGCCTTCACGACAGTCCGCACGTGGTGCGGGAAGGAGGAAAGGAGGAAAGACCCCTCGAGCTGAACGCGGATCCCGACCCGAGCCCGCAGGTGGGCGCCCGAGCGGCCCAGGCCCACGGAGCCGCGAGGGGGCGCGGCCAAACCTCCCGCTGCGCACGGCGGGTCCATGCACCTTGCTGGAGGCGCGGGGCGCCCGGCGCGGTTCGCACGGGGTTGGGGCTACCGGCCCGCCTCCGCCCGCCTCGGCCCCGCCCCGCCCCGGCCTCAGCCGAGCCGGGACGAGCCGTGCCGAGCGGCGGGCAGCGTGCAGAGTGGCGTCTCTACCGGCGGTAGGGTCACGCTGCGGGCGGAGCAGGTGCGGAGGGGCTGGGTTGTCGGGTGGCGTTGACAGCTCCTGGGACCGTGCCGTGCCAGGGTGCGGGAGGGTGCCGGTCGGCTGCTGGTTGGGCGGCTGAGCGCGGTGCCAGGCGGGGCAGCTCTGGGGCTCTCGCGCTCGGTCGGAGGGAGACGCAGAAGAAGGAAAACTGGTGGTGTCTTCGTAAGTATGCCGCGATTAAGGCAGGAAAACGCTTTCCGAACGTGTTGCGGCGCTGAAGTGGGCTATTAGTTTGGACGTGTCCTGGTGAGTGTGCTAATGAGCGTAACAACACCCCTCCCTGCGCACCTTCTGGTTTAATTGAACATGGCATCTGCTGGGTCTTCGTCTGTGCTTTGAAGTATGCCTTAATCTACAGTAGTAATTGTCTTGTGTTCCTTGCTTCATTTTGAATGTGTAAATTCAGCGTGTGATTTGAATTCACGTAGCTGGCCGTAAGTTGGCTTGAGGACTCCTGGTTGCTGGTTTGCTTGCCCCAGGCATATATGGTTGATCCAGTATCAAAAAGTTTTCAGTTCCCTCCTAACTAGCTTATCGGGAAGGATCTGAAGGGCTCTGCTGACTTGAAAAACCGTTTACAATTGGCAACCTTTTTGGTGCTTTCAGCCAAAACGCGATCTGAGCGTGGAATCCAAACTGCATTCTTGCATCTAAAGATGGTCCCTGCAGGTCAGAATTGAGGCGTGCTGGCATAACCAGGAAACTACATATGAGTGTGGGTGGGTTTTTTTTGTGTTTTTTTTTTCCTTTCTTGCTTTTGTGTGTGTGTGTATGTGCGCTTCAGAGACTCCAACTCTTGTAACAAGGCAAAGTAGCAGTGTGGCTTCATGCTGCTCAGGCAGCACTGGGGTGCAGCTTCCCCCCCTCCCTCCCCCCCCTCTGACTCTGCTGTTGGTTTTGAGGAAGTTCTTAATCTGGCACTGTGACTCAGTGTCCTAATCTTTAAAACGGCTTAATAAGACTTGTCACACTTGCCTCCCAGGGATATTAACATGTAATTGATGTTCATGAAGTACTTCATCAGGGAGAAAAGAGGGCATCTTGCTTCCTTCATTTCGCCATTCTATATTGGTTGCTAAATATATTACATGGGTGGAAAACAGATTATCCAATGACCAACTGGCATTCATGTCTCTTATCATATACATGAGCACTTCAAATACGTGTTTGCCCATGTCTGATGACTTTGAAATACTTGTTTTTTTCACTGAATACTACAGGTTTTATTCTTTCTGGAGGACGGGTCATATGGAAGCTCTTTTTTTTTTTCTTTTTCTGCCTGTTATAAGGTCAGTAAACGCTTTGAGAATTAAAATTACACTGACTCACTTAACGCTCAACACATGGTTGATTCAAGTCTTACTCAGACCAAGTCTTATGTTCAGTCTTGTTTTTTGTCATATTTCACTTATTTATCAACTGGAAACATGAACAATAATTTTACCATTCTCTGCTTGAAAGAAGTTGTCTTTAAAACAAGCCCTGTTTTTATCTTTGTACCTTGTATCTTCTTACTTGCTGCCCAGAGCAGTAATTAGCAGCTTTGCTCTCCTGACTTGAATCTCACCCCACCTCCTCTTTATCACTGCTGCCTCCCCCTGGGGCAGATAGCAGTCTGCAGTGGCAGCAGTGCGGTGCTGGGATCACCAGCAACAATTGCTGGGGGACGTCAGGATTCTTTAAATCAGCTGCTGTGAGGTGGGCACACATACTTGTAGCACTGGTGTAATGGTGTTTTTTCAGCTCAAGCCTTGGATTTAGAAATTTTCAGTCCTTTCCCAGAATCTTGATTCCTGCAAGGCTGTGTGCTGGGAGGCTGTTCTGTGACTGGGCTGATTTGCCAAGTATCAGCACGTTCACTTGTGTGTTTCCTTCTATTTTGCCTTTCAGCAAAACATGTTGGGGGGTTAATACCCCTTCATGTTAAGTAAATGTATTGAATTAATACCTAATAGGAAAGGCTTTTAAAATGCTGCTTGATGTTGGCAACTGCTGTTTTCTTCATATGACTTGAAGAAGGAACGGGAAGTGCAGCTTATAATGCATAGTGAAGGCATGAAGTTCCAACAGAAAACTGAAGGATGCCACATTCAAATTCTTCTTCCCCTGTGGTCTGCAGCAAGCGGCCTGACTTTTCCTGCCTTGCCTGTAAATGTGGGCAAATCCATCAGTGGCTTTGTAAATGTTAAAAAAAGAAAAAGAAAGAACGAGAAAGAAATACTCTGTTCTTAATTTTGCATTTCCTTTCTTTGTTCTTTGTTGCCTTATTGTTAACCTGAAGATGTAGAGCAGTATGAAATGTCTGATATTATGGTGGTATTTTGAATTAAATATTAGGTATTTGGAATTAAAATTTTATGTTGACCGTGTCTCATGAGAAATGTGGAGATGAGAGCCCCTCTTTTTGGGTGCAGGAAGCCATAAATGAGAGGTGAAGCACATTCGCTGAGAAAGCAGCTAGCAATCAACTCTTTCACCTCTTTTAACACGTACCTTGTATCTGCTCCAGCTGTCTCACTGCTCTGGTATTTTATAATTAGTATCTTGAAAACTCAAGGGAAAACTTTCAAACGCTATGTATTTCCCACTGGGACTCTTCCACGTGGCTGTAACATTTGTTGTGAGACCTTGGTAACGTGTATCTGTTCTTCAGCCGGGTTGGATTCTCCTGGTGTCAGCAGGAAATCTGGCTTTCTACTGGAAGAGACCATACTTCTTAGGAGCATGGTGTGTTTTGATTCCCTTGAAATGAAGTTGATGTCAGGTGACTGAAATTGAGGTCTGCCTTCCGATGTGGCGCTTCTGTTATTTCAGCTTGCTCTCGTGTTGTGTCCATAGTCAGCGAGTTACAGGATGGCTGAGGATGGCTTTGTGTGTCTGTACAGGCAGCCTGGCGTGCTTGTATACGTATAATACATAGGTACTTGTAAAATATACACTTACAGTGTGCACTTTGTACAAGAGCAAATTGTTTTGCTATACCTTTTCAAGTTCTTTTTGCTTGAAGAGTCCTTGTGTACTTGCCATAAATTTGGAAAATGCAGCCTCTGCTCTGTGTCTGGCAGCCAGGCTGCCAAGAAGGGGGGGGGGGAGGCATGCTGTTTGGCTTGCTTGTCACCAGGACTGGTTTTAGAGGTGTTTATGCTGACAGATTGACTCCTTCAGAAGTGGTATTAGTAGTTCAGGGTATTCCAGCACCAGAGGCTAGACTGTTTCCAGAAAATAGAGATATTCTAAATTAAGGCCATTAAGTGTCCACTGATTCAGTGACTGCAGATACACAGTTAATACTGTATTGTGACACATTCTGGAAATGGCTGGGTTTATTTTTGACATGGAGAAGATGACTAAGAATAACTCTTTCATCTATGCATACTTGCAAGTGAAAACTTCCCCAAAATGATCTTTAGTCATGTTTATACTCTTAGGTCCATGAAAGGAGAAAAACTGACTTAGGCTGAAGTCTGAGAAATGTGCGCTATCAGGCTGATTTCCTGCTCCAGATGACTGTTCAGTGAGTTTTGGTTTTATTTGGGAAGCTTTTTTCTTTTCCCCTCCAAATGTTTGGGGGCAATCTAACATGTGTGATGAGGGGCATGGTGAAGAAGCACAGGTCCTTCTCAGGAGAGGCAGATGCTACCACAGCACAAATTCTGATAGATGCTATTGTCCTTGCTTATCTCCTCAGTTTCTAATTGTGTTAATCTCAGTGTCCCAGTAACTCAGATTTAAATAAGAAATGTAACTTCAAAAAAGTTGCTGGATGAAACTCCAGTTAAGTTCAGAGTTTCCTGTACTTGTGTTTGTTTCTTGTTGCTCTTTCCATCTTAGAGCTGTGATGTAAGACCTTCTGAGGGGGGAACAATTCTGAAGACAGCCCATGGCTTCAGTCCTCACCTGCCTGGCTCTTTGTGGGCACCTTGCTACGTTTTGTTAATTGGTGGCCAAAGACTTGCTGCTTGGGACTCTTTAGGCAGATGGTTTATCAAATTGTGTGTTGGGAATGTGTCAACTAGATTTAACACTTTGTTCTTGTCTCTGGTATCTGCATTGGTGTGGACAAACAAAGCCAGTGGTTTCTTTACTTGCTACATTCAGCCAAGTGGATGCTACCGGTTTAGATTTTAAAATGACTGTAAATGCATGTTATGGATTTTTGGCTTCTTAAATAGTAGGTTCTTTGGATCCTTTAGTCCACAATAAACCCTTCTCAGACCTTTTAAGCTTACAGCTTATTGCCCATGAAGACTGCAGTAATGCCTAAGGGGGTGTTAGAGTTTATCTTTCTGTGTAACTGACGTAGTCAAGGATAAAAATAGAATTTCCAAAGCCATCTGAAATTTTTTTGTTGGGAATATGTGGGTATGTTTTCAACTAACTTTAAATAGTCTTACTGTAATTCAGGCTTGCACCCATAAAATTTGCACGAGGGAAGACTCTGTTTTAATAGCGTGTCTTTTGAAAAACTGAGTACACCAAAATGCTATTTAGTTTAGATAAGGTATTTTGCTGTCCTGAATATTATCTGAATAGTCAACTCCAAAGGCTTTTAAATCTTTGATGTGTTTTCCCGGTCTATTGTCTGCAAATCAAACATGGAGATGTCCAGCAACAAATTAATAAAAAGCAAAGCAGAAGCTGAAGCAGGAGATGCCTCTTTCTCCCATGTCTCTGAGAAGACTTGGGTTTGGCACATAATGTAATTCTTATTTGCATTCAATTGGCTGAGTGTGTGTCCCAGTAACTATAATCTGTGCTATTGGCTGAGGTGAGTCCCATCTGCTAGAGTCGTTAGGGATGTGCAGTGCCCTAGGCCTCTGCACCTGTGCACACGAGTGGATTTAGAGAAACAAGCACAGTCTCTGAAGACAGCTGCTAAAAGCAAGGGAGGAGTTCAAGATGCAGTGCAGAGTTCTCAGCTGACGCTTTTTCTGTCTGAGAAAACCCTCTCATTAAACATTACCTTTACTGGAGTTTAA